GAAAAAGTATATATTAATCTTGATTTTAAAAAAATTAAAGTTTTAATATTAAATTATATTGTTTTATTTAAAAAAAATTAATTTAAAATTTAAAAACATATTTGATTAAATATTGATATTTAGACTTGAAAATTGATTGAATTTTTAAATTATAATTTCAGTTTTTAAATATAAAGTGAGATTTTAATTTTCTTCGAGACTCAAAACTAATATGTACTCATCTCTAAAGTTTTTAAGTAAATATTTTTTGTAAAAGATTTTTTAATTCATTATGATAATAAAATGACTAAAAAAACATTTTTAAAAAAACACTTATCTCTTTTCTTTTTATGAACACCACCATCCCTATTTTTTATTTTTCAAATTTATAAAATTTTAATTTCTTGTGAGTTTCATTATTTTAATATTATGATTACAATAAATTCTTTATATTTGTACAATATAAATGCCAAGTAATTTACAATTTTAATAGATAAATACTTATATCTTAATATTAAAAAATGAAACATGTTACTCCATAGCCATAAAAATATGAGAATAAAATTAAAAATTATGTCAAATAATTTTTTTGGCTGACTTTTTTTAAGGATAGAAATGACAAAATATATTCAGATAGTATCCTTTGCTTTTCTCCGTTGTAAGTTCTTCCTTTTTTTGCTACGAGGAAAATGAATTTATAACGCTCCAAGAATGACTCTAAGGTTTTACTTCATGATCCAAAGACATTTTGACAGTCTACAATATGTGAGCTGGCATGTAGGGGCTTCCACCTTCATTTCTCTCCAATTGCTATAACTCTTAGGAACTACTTCAGTGTCACTCATACCAACAGAGTTGGAAAGCTTTTTGGACGCTTAACTGTAGAGACAAACATGCGCTTAAGAATCAAGTTAGAACATTGAAGAAGCTAGGAATAAAAGCTACTAGATATTTGATCATAAGAATAAAGCTCTGCAACATGACAGTCACTATCCTTTCCATATCTATTAAGATATCAAATTACAGAGTCATTTTCCAAAACAGCATGTGAACTTTAGCTCAAACATCTTAGATAAAAAAAAAAAATTTTTTTGAATCTGGAAACCTTTATGCCATGTTACAGTAATCAAACAACCCACCAAGCAAGAAGCGTTCCACACTTACCATAGAGTAAGATTATCAACCCACTATCAAGGGGAAACACCAAGCATATCAAAAGATAAAAAGCACCATAACTTGAATGCGAAATCCAATTATAGAACTATGAAATGGGAAATACTAGTGTAAAGGGAAATACTAGTGTAAGTAATGCATAAAAGGTTCGGATTCTAAAGATTTATATCTCCTATCCAAAAACAGCTAGAATATTTTTAATATCATCACCCTTGTTATGTAGATTTCGTTTCCTCAAATATTTCCTACTGTACCATGAAACTGGCTAACCTACATCCTTTTACCACATATATATTTTACCTCACATATATATATTTTACCTCGACATGCTTTCTTCATTCTCTATAAGCTAAATGCTAATAATGGAATTCACTTTACCCCTAAAACTAGAAAATTTGAAAACCACATAATGCAAGTTTATTGCCAATTATGCCCGCCTTTTTGCATTGAAGGGATATGGAAATTACCAAGCATCTTGTATGGTTTACAACAAACTTAAAACTACATGTAAGTAAAAGTTTGAATAAAAGATCGGCACTAAAAAGAGTAATTATTGAGAAAATGCAATGATAATCTCATAAAAAGTAAAGGAAACTAAAATAAATTGAGATCAAACATATCCAACACATTCATAATTTATAATTTAGTTGAGAAAAATTAAAGAAAATTAACAAAAACGCTGGAGAGAGAAGGAGTTGGACTGTTGGAGAGAACTTGTGGCACCGACCTCAATGATTTAGTACCAACATCTACAACTCAGCAGCATAAATTTCCCCATTGAAAAACAACTACCCATATCAAGAAATATCTAATAGGCTAATATCAATCCGCCAATTCTAAATACCCAAAATAATTGCAGAAGAATTATTAGCGATCTAAGGAGTTGTGGCCCTTGGCCTTTTTTCCACATTTGATTGCACAAAGGTCTATGTTCGACAGAAGGAGGATCCACGGAACTCAATAATAGCAGGTGCTGCCACTGGAGGTTTTCTTTCAATGCGTCAGGGATTTGGTGCTGCTTCCAGATCAGCAATCTTTGGTGGTGTTTTGCTTGCTTTGATTGAAGTAGCTGGCATCATGTTGAATAAGGTTCTTAGTGCGCCACAGAATATGCCTATCATGATGGAAGAGCCAACTCCCAAAATGGCCCGCATGCCTGGAATTCCAATGGGACAATTACTAGGTCAATCTCCAGTACCATCAACACCACCAACACCACCCACATCTTCTTCTTCTTCTTCTTCATGGTTCGGGCTCGGGGGGCTTTTTGGTGGTGGGAAAGAGCAGGAGACAGCAAGCAGTGGAAGCAAGACCGAGGTTGTGGAGAGCTTTGATGCTCCTCCAATGCCATCATTTGAATATAAATGAGGTGGATGACTGTTCATCATATTTTGTTAGCAAGATATGTCTGGCTTTAACATTGATTTACTTGTTCTCAAACTCAGAACTTATAGAGTGGATTTGCAGTTTTTTCATTATACATGAATCATATATTTTTGCTCTTGCTTATGTTATAATAACATTCTATTCATTTTGATAATTGAGTCAAGTTAATGTCTTGACCGATCCTCAATTGGGTTGAGAGCATGATGGAAAAACCAGTTTGCAGTCGCAACTTATTAACGTTGACACGAACCCAACTCCCAACAATTTTGTCATCTCCTACATAAATCAGTATAACTGCAAACTGCAGTTGAACTTCTCCACTTGGCACCTTGAAAACAACACTGACGACAGTGACCATAAATGTGACCCGTTACTATCTTTAAATCCATTCTTCCAATTCTTCACCAGAACCAGATTGGTTTCTCCAAGAGACAAAGGTCAAGAGGCAATAGACAGAAAGACAGAGAGTCTGCATGGTGTGCTAGACACGAAGCTCGACATCAAGTTTCTGAATCTGGCTTGGATATTAACAGGGGCCCTGTTATGGAGGTAGATGATGATGGAAAACCCAGAAGAACTGGTTAGTACTGCCTCTTTTTTCCCCCTCACTTCTACGGACTACAGCAACTCGGTAAGCATACATATATCCAGCATCAAAACCTACTGCCTACACTATTTTTTCTGTTACTTGGTTATTTGTGATTTCAATGTCTTCCTGGCTAACTCATTGAGGAAAACACAATAAGGAGGAAAAATATAGGGGAACTTTTTCCTTTTTGTTTCCATTATATTTATAGTATGCATTAGGTGGGCATTAAGGAAGGCAGAACCTTTTCTTCTGCAAAAGGTTGAAAATGGATAGATGAGACAAATTGCTTCTATTTTAAATGTTTGCTTTGCCTATTATCATTTTAATCTAAAAAATTCATTTGCTTTTAAAGTATTTACAAATTTCTATCAATATATCAAAATGGTTTATCTAAAAAATTTCATTTTATGTGAAGCACTAAGTGGCGTAACTTGAGCCTATGTATTTCAAAAATATATGTTTAAAATTTAAATTATAATTAATATATGTCTCTTTTAATTTTAATTTTTTTAATTACTGTTTTTGATAAAATAAAATATGATTTGTTTAAATTATACAATAATATTATATTTAAAATGTTATAATTTGCTTAGGTTATATGACGTTATTATGGTGCCTCCTAATCGCTAATGTGGAATTTCATTAATGAACATTTTAATACATTTTTCTTAAGATTGTAGATTATATTTGGAAGAAAATAAACTTTCTAGATCAAAGTGAAAATGATTCCAAGATTAATGGACCAAATAAAATATTTAGCCACGTACTGGATTCTTACAATTTTTTAGTTTCACATCCTAATAGTTTATTCTATTCATTTTAGTCCAAAAAACTTGTATTTTAAAATGCCTGTTTTGCAGAGACATTATGGACGGCGAGCGCGCACATAATCACGGCGTTCATAGGGTCCGGCGTTTTGTCCCTCACATAGCCCATTGCTCAGCTTGGATGGATCTCCGGTGTCTGCACTCTCCTAGTATTCTTACACATCACCTTTTATACTTCCAATCTCTTGGCGGACTGTTACAGACAGGGGCGGAGCTAGAACTTTTTTTCAGGGGATGAAATAAATTTTTATATATTAATTTACAAAATTTTTAAATTTTAGGAGGAGCGATATAATTTTTCATATATTAATTTACAAAGATTTTCAAATTTCAGGGGGCTACGCCCCTGGCACCCCCTCCCTCCGCCAATGGTTACAGATCTCCGATCACCAGCGAGAGAAATTGCTCTTACATGGAAGCTGTCAGAAGCTACTTAGGTAAATAAATTAAATCTCAAACCTGTCTTTCCTCCATTGTGCAACAGTGCAAGTTTTTCCTCCAAAAATTCAACCTTTACCAGGTGGAACCAAGTACAAGGCTTGTGGGTGGGTGCAGTGTATCTACCTTTCTGGGATGATCGTCGGCTATACTATCACAGCATCGATAAGCATGGTGTAAGCTACCGTTTTTGCACTGTGATTTCCGGAGGAAGATTGAGATGAGGAAAGGGATCAATTTATTGATCCAATTACTGGTTTTTTCAGGCCAATACGGAATTCGAATTGCTTCCACAAGAGAGGCCATGATGGGGATCCATGCAAGTTTTCAAACAATCCTCACATGATTGCTCTGGGGATTCTTGAAATTTTCGTCTCTCAAAATCCAAACTTTCACTAGCTCACATGGCTCTCCACCGTCGCTGCTGTCATGTCTTTTGGGTATGCATTCATCGGAATAGGACTCGCGTTTGCAAAGGTTGTGTCAGGTAAGATTTAACGCAATGTTCCATGTAATTCCCAAGCCAATTCTTGTTCAACAGTTCAAGTAACCAAATATACTGTACAATGACTTTGTCTTTAACAGGAAAAGGTGAAAGAACTTCACTGACGGGAATGGAAGTAGGGGTGGGCTTCAATGCGGCAGATAATGTCTGGACGATGCTCAGGGCAGTTGGAGACATGGCATTTGCTTTTGCATATTCTACCGTTTTGACTGAAATCCAAGTAAAAGAAGTCAATGATCAAAATAAATGGATACAAATCAAGCCGTACTTTAGATTTAATTGAATGTTTATAAGGTGATTTTCCTGTGATATTCCAGGATACGTTGAAGTCTTCACCACCAGAAAATCAAACAATGAAGAAAGCTAACACAATAGGTATGTCTACAGCAACAACTCTGTACTTGCTTTGCAGTTGTCTGGGTTATGCCACTTTTGGTGACCATGCGCCTGGTAACTTCCTCACGGGGTTTGGATTCTACGAGTGGTTCTGGCTGTTAGACCTGGCCAATGTCTTCATTGTGGTGCACCTAGTTGGAGCATATCAGGTAGCAGTGGCACACATCAAACTAGTAACATTCTTGAATTCTCACCTGACAATTTAGACTTGTGGATATATTGAACCGTTCTCAATAGTCTTGAATTATTTCATTTCCAATCAATTTTTTTCCCACATTTGAAAATTCTGAAATTAAATCAAAATTTCCAATGTCAAGTATCAGCTCAACCGGTATTCAGTGTAGTTGAAGCGTGGCTGTACTCACTGTGGCCTGAATCGAATCTCATAACAAAGAATACTCAGTAAACATTGGCAGGAGAAAGCTCAGTTTCAGCTTATTGAGGCTGGTGTGGAGAACATTATTTGTGGTGGTGGCAACAGTTCTTGCAATGGCATTGCCTTTCTTCAATGACATACTTGCTCTCCTTGGGGCAATTGGGTTCTGGCCCATGACCGTGTACTTCCCTGTGGAAATGTACATTGTTCGGAAGAAAATCAAACGTGGGTCAAGAAGTTGGGTTGGGCTCCAGATTCTGAACTTTGTTTGCTTACTGGTTTCAGTTGCAGTAACTTGTGGATCCCTTAAGGGGCTGAACCAGGCTCTCAAGTCGTCCAAGCCCTTCAAGTTCAAGGAGTAGCCCATAATAAGTTGCTAATTAATTTAGCAATTAAAGCACTCTTAATAAATAAGTTTAGCAAACGCAAAAAATTGCAGATAAAACCTTACTTTTTGAATTTTTACCTTACTAAATTTGTAAATTTTAACTCATCACTTTATATTAAGACACTTTTAACTCTTTGTTTATTAGAATTGAAGAAAATAGTCGTCACTTTATAATATTTGGTTAGTTTTGTTAACTGATTATTAAATCTATTAGTTAACTATTAATTTTATTAACTAAAAATAAGTTTTTACCAGTTAACAGTTAATTAATAGAGTTAGCAGTCAATTAATAAAATAATTCTGTTAACTGACTGTTAATTCTAGTAATTGAAAATATGTTTTTGTCAACTAACAGTTGGTTAATAGTCAACTAATAGACTTAACAATAAGTTAATAAAACTAACAAAATGTTATAAGTAAATGTTATTTTCTTTAATTCTAATAGATGAGAGACTAAAAGTATTATAATATAAGATAAGGGGTTAAAATTTACAGATCTAATAAGTTAAAGGCCTAAAAATAAGCTTTTACCAAAACGGCAATCTACCCATCCCAATAAACGAGAAAAACATGAGCGTTATTTGGTAAAGGTTTCCTTTTCCTAAATTTATCAAATTGTACAAAGGAGAAGTAACTTTTTTTTTTTCCCCTTTTTGGTCGGCAGGAAGGAGACGTAACTAGTTTGTTTGTTGACTTGACCCATTTACCGTTCGTGATTTCCTACAAAAAGGCCAAAAATGTTGGGCCTTTTTGAAAACGAAGTGAAAGTGGGCCCTGAGGAGAAGAAATTGATTAAAAAATTATCCCCTAAAAAGTATGGTTTTTCTAATTTAGAATACAAGTTTGAAATTAGTAGTGTAATTAATATATTTTATTATCTTTAAATTACATGAAAATAAATTTTAAGTTTAATTTTATTAGTTAATTAATTAAAATTATATATATTGTTATTGTTAATATTAATATAATTTTTGTGTATTTCTATATCACTTAATAACTAGTAAAAAGTATATTAATTGCAGTATTGCCAGAAAAACCATATCAATGGCTTGATTAATTAACAATAATTTTAGCTTAGTTGGAATGGCGTTTTCCGCATTATAGTACCTTTTTCTACCTTTGTGGGATAAAGTGGGACATTTGCCTTTATTTGATTAAAGAAAAGAAAAATCACAAGTTGACCTAGCATAACAACATATTAATAACATTGGCGCGGTATGATTGTACCTTTTATATTAGTTTACTATATTTTAAACAATTAATTTTTTTAATTTAATAAAATTTTATACATAATTTAAAGATAACACTTACATAAAATAGACCCAATTTTATACCCAAACAAATTTCAATCAGTCAAAATTTAGTCAATTGGGTTACAAGGTATATAAATATTTATAAAATTTGGATTTCAACCTGTTTCTTACCCCTAAAAAAAATACCACCACATAATAAACCCATAATAAAATGACAAAAATGGGATAAAATTATGCTTAAGGGTTGTGAATGCACCAAGAGTCTGACATGACCATCCAATTTTCCTTTAGTTTTGCAAATATATCTTAGGTCAGTTTCTGCATATATAAAAAATAAAATAAAATAAAAAATTCATGAAAAATTATATTTTTATTGATATCTCTAATGAATTAAAATTTAATTAATAAAATAAAAAATAAATTATTTTATTATTATTATTTTTTTATTTTTGTTGCACAATAAGGAACAATAATCTTTCATTCATTATCTCACCTCACTTACATACCATGCGATTCAAATTTAAAATCTCTTACTTTTAATAAAAAAAATAATTATTAAATTATTTAAGTCGTTAGTATTATTTTACTAATTAAACTACAACTCTTTAATTACAATTCACTCTTCTCCCAAGTTATCTTGGCTAGTCCTAACTTCTATGCATATCCGAAGTTGTAAGTAATCTAACTAACCTTTCCGATTGAAGACTTTCAGTTCGATCCTAAGCATTCATAACAATTACAACAAATTTGATTCCTATTTATTTACTGTGCCTAAGTTTATTTTGAATTTGGATTTTAGCATTTTTTGAAATGGACCATAAATGATAATTTTAATAGAGCAATTCAATAGTTAAAAACTTAAAATTTTAAGTTAGAGATCTCAAG